TTTTCGGAAGGGCAACCTCGAGACATAAACAGCAAAAAGTGCACTTACTATCACTGGTGTGCCCTTCCCACTCGGAATGCTCACGCCACCTATTCACCTTACATCCTAACCAAGTACTTCCATTTGGATCTGCCTAAACATGCTGTCGTAGTGTTGTCCGTTTTCGGTTACAGTCCATCAATTAAGGATTGAGCAGGCTAGCTGGAATGACGATATTTGTCGAAAATTGTGACCTTTGTGATGCTTGTGATGATGTCCAGGATGAACACCATGTCATGTTTAAATGCAATCATCCACATGTGTGTAATTTTAGAAGAAAGTATGCTTATTTGTTTTCTGGACATGTTCTATCTCTCACAACTCCTGCATCTCAGGTGACGCCTTTTTTACCTGCTTCTCACCATGTCCATGCACATGATATGTATTGTTTCTTAAATCAAAACAACATTAAACTTTACCCTTTCTTGTTTGAACTTTTACTTTTTTATGAACAGGCTAGCAGTCAGTCGGTTTGACTGGAGGCCTCCTTCTTCCTTGTAACCTTGTATACGACCCCCCATACTAGTGTATAATAAGTATGTACTATAGTATAGACTGACCTCGCACCCTAATCATGACACATACAACCTTTCCCAAGTCTGTAGCCAGCAAAAAAACTATCAGACCTAACATGCTACCATACCTGCAACCCCTACAACCAAAGATCCCAGACTGGCGACTACAATGTCATAAACTCAAACAACAGGAATACGCAGCAGGCAGGGGCATCATTCTTCATCCCGGAAGACATCTTCTCTTCTGAATCTATCACCTGCGCAATAAATCCTAAGGGCCATGGACCCACACACAATTAACAGAGCTCGCTGCAATTCAGGTAGCTCTTCAACAAGGGCACACTTCAGATGCGACTGACAGTTCTTCAGCACTGAATCAGATTAGAAACCAAATCCTCAAACCCATGGGCATGACAACGCATTTACATACACCATTACTCAAAGAGATTATAACTTGCATTTGTGCTTCAGAGAGCCCTGCACATTCCTACAAAGATAAATCACACAGTGGCATCCTTGGTAATGAAGGCGCAGATGCTCTTGCACTTCAAGCAGGTATGTTGCCTGAGGAGACTGACACCTCACTTGACCAGGCAGAAACTCCTTTCTTCCACCTCTTGGCTTGCTGCACCTGTCACGGCAAACAGCTCCTATACAGAACACTTGCCCCTGTCAAACCTCCAAGACAAACTTAAATAAACAATGCATGAAAAGCACAAATCCGGAACAGCAAACCTTGGCACTGCTGAGTGGCATTTACAGCTACCAAAATTGGCAAACCCTGCTCAGGATGTTCAACACTCACCCCACTGCAAATTCCAAAATCAGTGATGCTTTCTGGCAGATGAAAGCTGTGACTTTTGAAAAATGAAGTAAAAGTCTATGCAGGATAAAATTTAGCGTGCATAAAGGAAAGACCCAACAGTCAGCGCTGTCTCTGACCGTGAGCCTCACCAGTATCTAAGCTAGGAACTGGGGAGATAATCAATGGGGTTCCGGTGGGTTGTCGGCCATCCGTCCAGGCGTGTGCCTCACCCTCCTGTAACCTGCCCGTTCAGTAGCCGCCAAACCTGGTTCTGTGTTGTTTGAATTGCTGACATGTGTGGCATGTTTGGTGTTTTCAATTTTTGTTAAGGTCTCAACAGCATGAAGGTGTAGCTTGGTTGCAGTCTTTTGCCAAGAGTTTTGGGCTTTTTTCTTTGTTTAAGGCTAAGTTACAGAGGGGGTCAATAGTGCAGGGGTTGTAAATAGTTCCGGCAACTCCAATAAGGATAGTGTGTACAGTGACTCTGTTATTGCGGCGCGAACCTCAAAGCGCTTTTGTGCGTAAGTTCTCCATAGTATTTTTATGTTGATTTTGTGCAGTCAGGAGTGTTCGTCCAGGATCGGTGTCTGAGCAGAATTTCAATGAGTGTCTGTGTCTAGGGTTCATGTCCTTTGGATGGTGGGTATAGTCTCTACCTTCCAGGGGTAATACAATGATGCCATCAAGGCGACTGAGGTGTGTATGCGGTGGTTGCCTAGATGGGAGAACCCAATGTGGAATGTTCCTCTGGACATTTTCCGAAATTTCCATGCCTAGGGAGCTGAGTCCGTCTGTGTTGCATGGAACCATTGAAACAATGAAGGGTCCAAAGTTTCCTTTTCTGAGTGCTTCATCACAGATGCTGAGAGCTTGGTGATGACGATTTATGTTCATCCTATTGATTTGTGGGTTGGTGCATCTAAGTAGAGTACGGGAGATGTTATCAAGAGCACCACAAAGAGGTGACGTGCTCATTTGGTGTTATGTCAATTTTACTGTTGGTGACCAATTAGTTAGGTTGTTATAGGGGTTTTTGGCTGATGATATCCCCTAAGTGATTGGTGTTGTCAAGTCAGTATATTTTACAGAACATGATCTGTGCATGACAGAGGACAGAGAGCAAGCCCAGGGGGGTTATTGAATCGTGCGGCATGCTTGCTGTTGCAGAGTGTGTCCGTTCGATACTTCATTATATTTGTCTGCTCTTTAAGAGTGACGGTTTTCATTTGTCAGAATGCATTGCTAATCTTGGAATGAACAGAGGGTTGGTGATCGGTCAATCGCTGCAAGTTTTGCCAATTTGTGTTGATGTTTGCTTCCCCCAATTTCTGCTTGTCATGCATGATTTGTTAAAGTTTGTCTTGTAGGTTTGGAAGGATCCAAGGTATCCCACATGATAATGAAGAGCATATGAATGTGATCTTGGATTTCGGGGGAGATCATTCTAAGGATCTCATTCACTATGCCGTCTGGACCTGGAGATTTAATGTTACTTACGGTTTTTTGCCCATTTTAATGGCTTTGAAAGGCATTTTTATCCATGATTTTGGAGTGGAGCCAGTCTCTTTGATCCTTCCCTTCCGAGTCATCTTGTGTAATCCTTGAATTTAGAATAAATGGATCTGGCACAGGAGCAGAATGATTAGTCTATTCCCAGGTAAAATTACGTGGGGCTTCGTGTGGAAGATATTTGCCATGTTTGATATTTACTGCCTTCATAGCCTGTGTATAACAGTTTTCACCAATCTGTGCCTGCTTGGTTGGTCTAGTTTCAATCTTACCTGTCTCTGGATCTCGGGGTGCTTGGAGACCTGTTCTTGGTTGTGCGTTTTTGTCTTTCAAAGATTTCCTCGTGTGCTTGTATGGGATTCGTGTTGATCGTTCTTTTGCATCCTTTTATGAGCAACGTTGTAGTCGTTTTTATTACGAGTTTCATCTACGTAAGTTATGGCTTGTTTAGCGCTCTCTGAGATGTCTTGTAGTTGTGGAAGAGGAGGAATGTCAAGCTGAATGCTGTTGAGTTGGGAATGGCTTTATTAAGACTCGTATTTTCCATATTTTGCTTCAGAATGGTGGAGGTGCTGTCAGTTGTGTGTCAATAGCAAGGGGAGTGAGTTGAGACTGGATGGTTCTGATCAAGGAAAGCTTCTTTTTTAGGTTGCGCCGTTTGGTGCTTATATTCCTTGGATTGTAGTGGTTGTGGTCTGAGGAGATTTTTCATGTTGCACACTTTCAGTGCTCCTTGGTATGAAGAGTGAACGAGACAGAGATGCCTTCTGCCAGAGTTTCAACTGTATCAGTGGCCGTTTCATTGCAGAGTGTCTCAAATTTTTTGGTTTGTTTGGCAGGTGTGTTTTATAGATTATCTAAATACATAATGGAAAACATAATGGCTTCTGTACATGAATCAAGGGTTTGAAGCAATTCTTTTTCCAAGATTTGGGGGAGCCCCATGCCCTGGGTCTTGCAAGGAATGCGCAAAAGTTGTCCTGTCTGAGCCCTGAGGTAGGGCGAACAAGGACTTTCTGTGGGCTCTGACAAGTGATTTGTATTTCTGTGGAGACTAAGGGCGCTGACTCACTCTCGGAGACGTATGTTAGCATTGAGTGGGACGTGATCGCTGAGGGAGCCTAGTTTGTCAGTGTTACAAGGGGGAGTATTACGGGCACACTCCGAGGGTAGGATGACATCATCGATGCGGCCATAGGTGTAGCATGTACTGTTATGGCCAAATGATAAAGCTTGTTGTTGTTGCTCAGGTCCATAAAAGAAGCATGTCGAAAGACTGAACAGTCAATCACCAAGCATTGAAGCACAACACATGATTATTGGTACAGTGCTGCATGCGTCACCAAGAAGGCAAGACCCAACAGGTGAACACCATTCTCTCCTAACAAGCTCAGACAGTGGCCCGCTCCGTGTTTGTTGCTGGAGCAGGCTAGGGAGACGCCAAGAGACTCCAGGTGCRCATTATTGCAGATTGGTCATGCAGCCCCCCCCCAGCCTCGGGCAGCTTGTAGCGAGACCCACTTTGCAGGGTTTGCCAGCTTCTTGGGCCATAACATGGGCAACCCCAAGCACAAGCGAGTGTGCAGCAAACCTTCAGARAGGGGTCATGCAAATCCAGTTCTGGTTCCAGGGGGTTGCGGTCTCTGCACGTACCTGGAATAGGCCATGCCAGCAAACAATTGTGTGTGCACTGTCAATTCACCGAGCCCACAGTGTAGCCTGAAAAGAAGGACACCGTGCCCCCCAAGCRAGCTTAAYTGGGGATCGGTCTCAAGACCCCCGTCCGGGGCAGCTTCGGCAGAGTCCGTGTGAGCAAGGTTTTCATGCTAATTGGTGGGCCGCACGGTTAGTGTCTGCGCAGACTGTTGGGTCTTCCCTTCATACAAACTGCCTGTGTCTAGCGTAGACTCTCACTTGCTTATTATCCTGTCTTCGGGCCATCCCCAGCACAAATGAGTGTGCAAGACTCCTTAGAGGTGGTCATGCACACTCAAACTCGGGTATACTCCGATGGGCAGGCTCTCTGTAGGTGCCTTAAAAAAGGTATGCTGGCAACTGACCGTGCGTACATGAAAATAACCAAGCACAAAAGAAACATGGGGAAGACCAAAAACATGAGGAAGACCGAAATGCGCCCACCCGGGGGCTCGAACCCCGGACCACAAGGTACCACCAATCATGTTTTGATTGCTTGCGGCTTAAGAGCCTTGCGCTCTACCAACTGAGCTAGGCGGGCAGTGGGGGGGCATGTGCTTGCACCCAGCCCCTCTGACTGTCCACTCAGAAATTTTCATTATCTCCTTTGACGTCACTTCTCACATAGCCCTGATTCCAAACTCTGACAGCACTGCTAATAGAGCCTCAACCCTGTCAGTTGGGGAGCGACTGCCAGATTAGGTGCAGCACTCGTCATCAGCCAAGTCAGTGCATCAAATGCTATTGTGGTTGAGAGAGGCTGCGAGGCTGAGCGGTGTTACACGCATTGGGAGCTGTCTCGTGAAGAAGGAAAATCTCGCATGGCATTGTGTTTGACAGAAAGCAGGAACAAATGTGCATGACAACAATACCCACGACAATTACCATTTGGCTCCTTCTTGCAACATGACAGGGAGCTCCCATTTTCCACGTCTGAGCTTTTGCTGTTGGATGCACCGGTGGCTGGCGTGGACCAGCCATAGGCTGATTGACCCAACACTCTGCCAACTGAGATAAACAGGCTCTGCACGCTGCAATCATGCGTTGCTTTATCAAACTGCGCTCTGCCAACTGAGCTACGCGGGCTCTGCACGTTGCAATTGTTGCAATCATGCATTGCTTTTTCAAACTGCGCTCTGCCAACTGAGCTAAACGGGCTCTGCACCTTTCAACCATGCGTTGCTTTATCAAACTGCACTTTGCCAACTAAGCTAGGCGGGCTCTGCACGTTGCAATCATGCATCGCCTCATCAAACTGTGCTAGATGGGCTCTGCTAGGCGGGCTCTGCACGCTGCGGTCATGCATGCATGCGCATTGCTTTATCAAACTGTGCTATGCAGGCAACACCTACATCCAGTGTGCTCGGAAAGCCCAACGTTTGACAGACCCCCCCTTCAATGGTCACACGATGGCCCTCTGAGAGACAAATTGCGGTTGCGAGGAAGCAGGCATGCCTCGATGGTCTGAACTGGTGGGATCACTATCAGTTTCAGCTCACTGTTGGGTCCTTCCTCAATGCACGCTGGCTTAACCCAACATAGACTGCATCTCTATCGATTTCATGTTCTGGTGCTAGCGTTCAGTACATCTTTGAACCTGAAACCATCAATCTTTGGTGCTGCATTGTGGTACAAAGCAAGCATACCATTTTCAATTTTTATATTCATAGCCTTTCTACTGCCAGTGGCAGCCTGGCAGCCTTTCTATTGCCAACAGTTTATGTAAGGTTTACATGGGGGATTAAGCCTTCAGCCAGTAAGTTTGGCTGCTCAGCCTTCTTAGCCAAATAAACCTGAGCAAGAGATATAAAGCTGTTT